CAGTGACATGTCACCATAGGAAGGGCCCTTGGGCATGGACCACCCCATCCTGCCCAGTTCCCCAGCTGCACGGTCCACCAGCAGCTTGGGGAGCCCTGGCCAGCACCTGCCTGCTGGATGGCAGTGGAGGTTGAGGGGCACCCCAGGCTTGCCCCCCTGATCGTTGTAGCTCAGGGTCCCAAACCAAGAGCACAGGTGAGCCTGGGGTAACAGGAGGATCAGGAGCAGCAGGGCGTCGTAGCTTGGGCACCCCTCAGCCTGCACAAGCAGCTTGTTGTGCACTGCCCAGGGCGCACACAGCAGGGGCACCCTTGGGGCACAGTAGCGGCGCACCAGGGGGCTTTGGTTTGAAGAGATGTGTAACCTTTTTTGATTGGGTTAATTGGGTCTATTAGCATAAGTTCATTAGGGTAATTAGGTTAGTTAGCATCTTCTACTTAGTCTTTGCCAAAACTGGGACTTGAAGGAATGCAGTACATCTTTGGTGATTAATGGAGGTTTCATGCTGTTGTTAATTCTCTCCTATTCTAGCTGGGTGATCCGTTTGCCATCACTCCCGTTCTGCGTGATTCCATCTCTTCACTTTGGCTGCAGGATGGATTGTCTTCAACCTTCATAGGTTGTCAGGCTGGAAGGGACCTCGGAAGATCATCGGGTCCAGCTCCCTGCACCAAGCAGGAAAGACAGCCGGGGTCAGGTGGCCCGAGCAAGGTGACCGTCCGGCCTCCTCTTGAGATTTCCAGGGCAGGCGATCGCATCACCTCTGGAGGGGGCTTATTACACTGTCTGGCTACCCTGACTGTTGAAGAAGTTTTTCCTAATGTTGAGCCTGAATTGGTCTTCCAGGAGTTTGTGGCCGTTACCCCTGGTTTTCCTCTCGGGTGCCGTGGGGAACAGTTGCTCACCGAGCCCTTGGCGTGCTCCCCTAGTGCAGAGCTAAGCTGCTACCAGGTCGCCTCTCAGACTTCTTCTTCTCAGGCTGATGAGTCCCAGATCCCTCCACCTTTCCTCGGATGGCTTGCCGTGTAAGCCTCTGATCATACGGGTGGCTCTTCTTTGAGGCTCAATACAGAAATGTCTGGGTGAATTTATTTATTTATTTATTTTTCCTCGTGTCATACCAGAGGTAAGAGGAAAGGATCTTCTATGGTTTTCAACTTTTTAAGACTTCCTACTGACATTTTGCCCATTTGACACTTCAGGAGCTGAGCCCCAGGCTCTCATTCTCAGTGTGGAAGAATCCTCTTGGGAAGGGGGAGTTCTTCATTCCTGCACTTTCTATAGCTTTATACCATCTTATAATGAAATGAAAGGAGTGGGGAGCTGGGTCCAGGGCATTCATAATACCATGAGCGGGGTGGTCACGACTGCTACCCAGCTCAGTGGGAATTGTGGACCTTCACCTGGTGCTGTATTAGGTTCCCGCTTGTGGTGACTTCCTTTCTTGTATGCTATAATTGTTTGACACAGGGCAGAGGACAAAACCCCGGGTGCTGTGAAGAAGTTTTTCCTAATGTTGAGCGAAAATTGGTCTTCTTGGAGTTTGTGGCCGTTACTCCTGGTTTTCCCCTTGGGTGCCGTGGGGAACAGTTGCTCACCAAGCCCTTGGCGTGCTCCCCTAGTGCAGCGGTAAGCTGCTACCAGGTCGCCTCTCAGCCTTCTTCTTCTCAGGCTGAAGAGTTCCAGATCCCTCCGCCTTTCCTCGGATGGCTTGCCGTGTAAGCCTCTGATCATACGGGTGGCTCTTCTTTGAGGCTCAATACACAAATGTCTGGATGATTTTTGTTTTTGTTCGTGCCATACAGGAGGTAAGAGGAATTAAATAACCCTGAAGGTTAATCCTGCATGGCGCACTCAGCCTTGCAGGCATTAATAGAGACATTTAACTGCTTTTAAAAACTAGCTTTTAAAAAAAAAAAAAATCACTTGGAGCCCACAGGCGAGTAATATATTTTGCAGGGTAGTACAATGGGAGTTGTTTGAAAAGTCAACAGACCACACAACAGTGACATGAAATACCTCTGGTATTTCCTAGTATCATGTAGAGGCAACTTGGGGTTATCTCGGTTACTGCAGCATGATACCAACTGGCAGATACTGACTCTTTAATAGCCGCATTATGAGCTCCAGTATGTGAAGTCCTTTTCTCTAAAACATAAGTGAAAGACACAGCTCTTAGCAGGTGATGACTGGTGTCACTGTAGTGAAATCAGGGGAGCCATACTGATTTTTGCTACTCGGGATCTGTCCCAGAGCTCCTTGGAATACTTTGGGTCAATTCACCAAAACCTGCCTGACCGAATTTTGATCTTATTTGTAAAACGGGTTCATCTTCATTGGTGCAATTCTTTATTTTAACAGGTACCAAGAATAGACCCCATGCCCAAATGCCTGGAGAGGTAATGCAGGAAGTTATTTTTCTTTACAAGTTTGATGAACGTCTTCATCCTGCATTACCTTGTTCCCTTTCTTTGAAACCGAGCTCTTCTCTTGAACAAATTGGCTCTCTGCATGCTTATTGGCCAAAGTGGCACAAACGTCATACTAAAGCCTTCGAATGACCCAACAATTTCTGGATTGGAGCCTTGATCCCTCTTGCGTTGAAATCTGTCACATTGATTCGCTGGGCTCTGTGTTAGGTTCATTCTGCACAACAATGAAACCCACTTCTGTGAGGGATGTCTATATTTGAAAGGTCTACTCGGGAAACACGCTTGCCAGAAAGACTGGTTGTCTCATTAATACATAATTGTCTTCCTAAAAGTACAGTAACATAAATGTGGCCAAATTAAAACATACAACGCTACTATCTAAGTATTACGGATGACCATCATAGGCCAATATAAAGCAGACGAATTGACGTTTTTTCCCATAATCTCCTCAACAACTCTAGGGGGTGAATGATCTTTGTAATTAAATATTGGGAACAGACACCC